TGCTGCTGGTATTACAGGCATGCTCCACCACACCACACACACACACACCACTCTCTCTCTCTCTCTCTCTCTCTCTCTCTCTCTTTACTGATAAAAAAAAAAAAAAAAAAAAAAAAAAAAACACCGCGAATGCTGCCATCCAGTGGAAAGGCAGGCTCATAACAACCTCTCATCGCGTCGCCACCCTCCGCGTTCACAGTACCCTGCATGGTGCTGCTCTGGCTTCGCCTGAAAGTCAAAAGGACTGTGAATCCATTCAGGACACGGCGGCAGCCCCCACAGCACAGCTGAGGGCGTAGAAGAGGACCTTCAGTGCACGTGAGGACAAGGAGAGGACTTTGAGGGAGATCCTTGGCAACAAGTCTTTTTGTACTAAATTATTTATTCATTTAGTTGGTACAAGGAATCGAACGCAGGACCTTGCGCTTGCCAGGCAGGCACTGTACCCCTGAGCTATAACTCCATCCCTGTGCTAAATGGTGCAAATCTAAATATTCCTATGTTCCCACTGTATCACACACAATAGCTTTTGTTATGTAAGTTATGGGTGAGGAGGAAATGTCTGCCTTTCTGTCCGCTCCCAGGAGACAAGGCTGGAGGAAGTAGCCGTCCCTGGACTGGCTTTGGGTGCGGGGCATGCGGCCCAAAGGGTGAAGGGCGGGCAAAGCAGAAAGAGGCCCCATGGCTCCGCCCTAGATCTCCCTTGCAAGATGGAGGAGGGCTTTAGACCGCAGAAGGGAGGCGTCAGGCTGGGCCAGGTGCAAGCTGCGTTTCTCTTCATGGAGAGTACAGGATAGCCTTCCTTTGGAAAATTTCCACAACTTGAGACTTGTGTCTCTTTCTAGCGCCCTTTTTTTTTTTTTTTTCGGAACCAGGGATTGAACTCAGGCCCTTGCGCTTTCTGGGGAAGCGCTTATTCCCCTGAGCCATCTCCCCGGCCCCTCTAGCGCTCTTTATTTTTATTATGAACATATATTAATTATACAGATTAGGGCCGGCCAGATAGCTCAGCAGATTAAAGCAGACTCAGGGACCTGGGTTCTACCCCCTGCATGCCATGGTGACCCTGGCCCTGCCCCCGAGGAGCGCTGAGGTGGCTATTGAGACTAGCTGTGGTGGCGCACGCCTGTAATCCCAGCGCTTGGGAGGCTGAAGACGGAAGGATCAGGGGCCAGGGAGATGGCTCAGTAGGATAAGCGTTTGACTGGCAAACACAAGGATCTGAGTTCAATCCCTGGTCTTTGGGGCTGGTGAGATGGCTCAGTGGTCTAAAGCACCTACTTAGAACAAGCTTAACAAAGCACAGGGACCGCGGTTTGATCCCCCAGCACCACATGCCAGCCAGTCCCGCCCCCTGGTGGGCTGAGCTGGCCACACACACACACACACACACACGCACACACAAATAAATAATAATAGTTATTATTATACAGATTAATGGAGTTTGGCTTATTGTGGTATTTCAGTGATGTTTTTCTTTTTTATTGTTGTTTCTTTTCTCTTCTCTTCTTGTCTTTTTCTTTTTTATTTTTTTGGCGGAACTGGGGATTGAACTCAGGCCCTTGAGCTTGCCAGGCAAGCACTTATTCTACTGAGCTATCTCCCCAGCCTCTCTTTCTTTCTTTTCTTTTCTTTTTTTTTTCTTTTTTCTTTTTTTATTATGTGTTTGGTTGTTACAGGGTCTCACTAAACGCTTCGACTCATAGTAGCCCTCTTGTTTGCGGCCTCTCCAGCGCTGGGATTACAGACGTGCGCCACCCGGGCCGGAAACTGTGGCCAGCTCAGCCTGCCCTGTGGGCGTGGCTGGCATAGCATGTGGTGCCGGGGATGGAACCGCTGTCCCTGAACTTGCCTAAGCTTGCCTAAGCAGGCGCTTTAGTCCACTGAGCTATCTGGCCGGCCCTCACTGGTGAGTTTCAGCCCGCCGTGCACTGTGTCAGACAGGAGACAGCGAGTGTGAGCAGTGCCCCAGTGGCTCCTCTGATCGTGGAGGACCTCAGGTTCTGCCCCCAGTAGGGCTTGCCTGGTGATAGGACAATGGCAGGTGCCCCACCCCCACGGCGGCAGGTGCCCCCCCCACTGTAGCGCCCTCTAGAGGTTGGGGGAGTGTTTCGTGGCTGGAGCCAGATAAAATTCCTCTCATCTGAGATGTGTGCCCGATGGAGCGGGAACGGAGGTGTCTCCCGCTCTAAACCTTCCCTCTGGCCTTTCTTAGCTGTGTGCCCAGGAGCAGGGGAGCGCTTAGATCCAGAGTTCTTTCCCCACAGTGTTGCAACAGGTGCCCACGTGCAGTGCTGGGACACAGGTGGTGAGGACCACATAACAGCTGCTTTCAGTGCTGACACCTGCTGTTCCAGGCCTGTGGACTGGCCATGCCTGATCTGAGACTCCCTCTGTTCCTGTTGGTCGCAACACCTGCTCCCTACACTGCCACTCTCTCCATGCGCCACCCAGCAGAGCCAGGCACTGGAATGCCAGTGGGAGCCCAGAGACGGAAACATGCGAGGACTTCTAGCCCCTAGAGCATCTAAATTCAGACACGAGGTCCCTTCTTAAGATGGTACCAGGCTCCAGCACCCCAAGATGGTTTGGAGAGATGAAATGGAATTTTTTTCCATAGCTTCAGGTATCCTACCTACCTAAGTTGTAAACCTGTAATGGTTGCGGAACTTTGTGGTGCTAGGATTGCCAGGGTCTGCGCTGACAGTCTGCTGTGACTCCTTCGCCCTCTGGTGAGTGTGCCAGGGTGAGACGCCCCTCTGTCCGCTCTGCAAGGGTGGTGAAGGCAGTGGTTTGGTTTCTTTTGCTGTGCTGCTGTTCCAGGCCTGAGGATGCACTTCCCTTTTTTTCCCCTGTTGAATTCTGTTGTTCTCCATCGCTCACCAAAACAGGTGGCTCTACACCTGTTACCTTGGCTGTGTTTCATGGAACAGGGGAGTGCCAGGTGCCTGTACTGAGCCATCTGGTTTCCTGTTCCCCCAACCCAGCACCAGGATTCATGGGTTCATTCATTCTCATTCATTCCCACTCATTCATTCATTAATTCCCATTCATTCACATGTCATTATTGCCGGGCCGGAGCTTGAACCCCGGGCCTTCACACTGAGCTACATCTTCAGCCCTTTTTTTAATTTTTTAATTTGAAACTTTACTTTTTTTGGGGGGAGGCCTTTTTTAATTTTTACACTGAGAAAGAGTCTCGCTGCCTTGAGGATCAAGATCCCTAAGCCATCTTTACTTTTTTACTGTGTCAAATATCTGCTGCAGCCTGTGGGGTCTTACTTCCCTTACCCTGTTAGATTATTCATTTCCTGAGGACTACAACTGTGTGGGGGTTAGGTTGTATCTATGCAGTCGCATTCAGTCCCTGCAAATATGTTATCCATCATCCCGGAGCAGCCCCTATGCTGGGTTTTGCAGGACCCCGAGAAAGGTGTGTCCCACCCTCTGGATGTTGGCAATGACCCAGGGGGCTGATTGTACCCCCGAGCTCCTGGAAGCGTTGCTGACACAAAGTACCAGAGCAGAACCCAGCACCGGGGTCGGTGATGTTGGACGTGGGCCAGGAAGGGAGCAGCACTCAGAGGAATACGGGACCAGAGCAGCGTGGTCGGCGCTGGGCGCTGGGCGAGGACGCGGGAGCCTCCCTCAGGCACAGCTGTGGGCGAGCTGCCCCACGCCGGCCCAGGCGCCCCGTACTCGGGTCTGCAGCCCGCACAGGATCACTGGGAGGGAGGCGACAGAGGCCCCAAGAGCGCTCGCGGGAAGCCTTTGACAGCAGGCGCAGAGAGCGGATCGGATGCGGGCTGGGGCCGGGAGACCTGGGCTTGGCCTCGGTTCGGTCCGGTCCTGGGCCTCGGGATCTTGGGCAAAGCACAGCCGCCTCGGGCCCAAGCGTGCCCGGGTGGAGCAGGGCTCACGGTCCCGCTGTGGCTGCTGCGGGGTCTGGGGTCCTCGGGGAAGGAGCGGGCTGAGCAGGGACGAAATGCCCAGGGACCTGGCTGGAAAAAGGGAACAGGGAGCAGCGACGGGAGCGGCCGCCCGCGGAAAGGCCTGGCCGGCGGCTGCGGGCTGAGCAGAACCCGGCAGAGCAGGGGGTCCGAGTAGCAGGGCTGCACCCGGGTCCGACGGAGCACACAGTCTCGGGCAGAGTGATCCCAGCTGCAGGCTGCTCGTGGCTGCGGGCGACAGACGCCGCCTGTCTGACAGTCACCTTCTCGCAATTTGACCCTGGGAGAATGAGTGTAGCTGGTTTGTACCCAGGCAGCCCAGCGTGCCACACGCGTCCGTGGGGCACACAGGAGATGCGCTGTGACAGGGACACAGAAAGCCCTGCCTCGGCCCTTTCTCCACAAGGTCTCCCCTTCGTACAGGTCCTGTTGCTGGCCCTGGGCAGAAGGTGGGCACTGAGCAAATCACCGGAAAGACACTTGGCTGCAATAGGCTGGAGACAGGCTTGCTTGCATTAAAAATCGACTGAAGATTGACCATTAACTCACTTTGTAGTCTAGGCTGGTCTTAAACTAGCCGTGATTCTGCTGTTACTACCTCCTCATTGCTGGGATTACAAGTGTGCACCACCAATCCTGAAAGGAAATTCAACTGTTTTTGGTACCAGAATTGAATTCAGGAGCTTGCACTTGCCAGGCAGATGTTGTGTCGCTGAGCTATATCCCTAGTCTGTTTTTTGTAAAAGGGTCTCAGTATCTAGTTTCTCCAACTGTGCAGTCCAGGTTGCCCCTGAACTTGTGATCCTCCTGCCTCAGCCTCACCAGTGCTGGGATTATGAGGTATACACCATCCTGCCCAACATGGAAGAAGTCTTCTTGATGGTTGGTTTTGATCCTTTCATGAATTTATGGTTCCACTTGATAAATTAGAAGAATTACTATTTTAGGCCCAACGCTCCAAAATAAGAATCATCCAGAAGCAATTTTTAAAAAGTTTTTATTAAATCATTTAGACTTGAAAGAAGTCACAATAGTTAACACACTTGAGTGCGCTCTGTATACCACCAACCCAAATGGATTGATCTCAGAATTTTTATAAATAAAAAATAAACATATTTACAGATGAAAACAAAAACCCATCGGGATGCAACGCGATTAAGCTGTTATCTAGACTCGGTCTGGGGATGAGGGTTACACCCACCTGCAGGATTACACAGAGGACTAATGATTTTATGAGGTTAAAAAGCCCATCACTGAAGAAGTTAGTTGTAAGACGGTGACCCTGGTGAAACTACAGTTTTTTCTTTCCCAACAAGAATTTACACATGAAGCTTCATTTCTCCCTTATTGGGTTTACTGGAGGTAAAAGTATAAAAATGTCTTAAACCTTCACTAGAACCATCTAAGGAATAAAACTATTTGATGCTACAAATAGGACCATAAAACTACAGACATAAACTGTCATACAGTTTGTGCTACTTGTCCTCCAAAATAGTGCAGATTCTTTATTTACCCACCAGGGACAAAAAAGAAGTCAGCTTCTTTAGAAATCAGTTTCCAAGTCTTATCTTTTTTTTTTTTTTCCCCTCGGTACTGGAGATTGAACTCAGGGCCTTGCGCTAGTCAGGCAAGCTCTTATTCTACTGAGCTATCTCCCCGGCCCCCATCTTATCTTTCTAGAAAATGTATTTCTAGAACAATAAAGTTTCCACAATGGGGGGAGGGTTTATTCTTCTGCATTATAAAAATATTTCCACAGTAAAGCTCTCTGTATTTTAGGGACTGCTCCTACCTCTGAGGCAAAAGGCGAGGCTGTAAAGCTGGCCAGCAGGCTGAAGGGAGCCGAGCAGCCCCCCACCCCCACCCCACCCCCAGTCCTGTGCTGGGAGAACCGCAAAACGCAAGTTGTTGGCTGAAAACACGGTCGGGCCCCAAACCTGGTTTTGGTTTGACTTGGAAGGTGCAGCCCAAAATAAGGCAGAGCAGAAAATAAAATGTTCACATCCGCCACTCTGGAACGCGGTGGGATCCTAGGAGGCCGCTGTGTCCACCCAGCCCCTTGCTTCGGGCTGACCGCAAGGCGCAGGGCGCAGGGCGCGTGGTGCAGGATTAACTGCTCACTCGGCGGTGGCAGGGCTAACTGCTGGGCGCGGGGACGCGGGACCTGCTGGGCAGCCTCGCGGGGTGCGGTCCCGAGGAGCTCAGTGAGCGCGAGCGCTGTCGGAGCAGTGTTTTCCCGGGCACCTCCAAGTCCTCAAAGAGAGCGTTGTCAATGATCTCTGTGGCTTCGGGCCGGTCCGTGGGGGAGGGGGAGAGCATGTCTTGAACCATCATGTACTGAAAGATAAATCGTGCTAAAGCGTCAGTGTTAGGTCCCTAAACAATCCTTTTAAAGCAAGAGTCGAAAACATTTTTCTGGGGCTGGTGAGATGGCTCAGTGGTCTAAGGCACCTACTTAGAACAAGCTTAGCAAAGCACAGGGACCGCGGTTCAATCCCCCAGCACCACATGCCAGCCAGC